GTCCAACACACTGTATTGGATGTGATGACTCACAGGATGAGTATGTCTTTGTTATTTGCATCCCTAGATGAAAACAAGCACTTAACCCTTGTAGTGCGTGGGTAGCCCCACTGCAAGGGTAAAGATTTCTTCTGCCCAGAGTTCTTCTTTAATCCATAAAGGTTTCAAGAAAGCCCTCACATTGCCCTGTTTGTTTAAAACATTCCTACCTTACTACTCTTCTACATTATTAAACGTTATAACAGATAAATGTTTGGGTAGTTATTTTATTATGTGTTTTTGTAACCTAAACTCTGCTGGCTGTTTTTAATAAGGGGGGTAATCACAATACTTCAGGGTCCTGCAAATGCTTATTTACACTTTTATAACAAGTATCTGATAATCCATTGCATTCCAATCACTGGAGATGTAAGTTAGCAGCAGATCTGAGGATAATTGCAGTAAAGATAAATCTGTGTACGCAATTCTGTAGAGAATAATATAGGAGTGTTATGGGATCAGAGTCCAGTCACTTGTTAATCAAAAACTAGAAGGAGCATAAGAAATCTATGAGATCTCGTATAATAAGAGAATATGGAGGCTGGCTACACTGACCTCTTCTGAGAATACTAGTTTTGAATAAGTAAGTACCCCTTACTCATTCAAAAATGAGGGGGGGGGGGCAGCATCTGGGTGCCCCTTAAAGGGGTACCCCGATGCAAATAAGCCCACTTGCCCGCACACCTCCACAACCACTGGGTCAGGGTTGTGGGGAAGAGGTCCTGGTCCCCATTGGCATTGGGACACCCTCCCAATGCCGAGGTCAGGGAGGGGGGAAGGAGCGCTCGATCATGCCCCCCTTTCCTGCCCTGCCGGGCCTGTGCTGGGATCAATGGTCTTGTAACATTTTTAGGGGGGACCCCATGGTTTCCCCCCATTTTTATGTAATTCCTACCAGACTTAAAAAGGGGGGAGGGTAACCTCACAATTTTTTTTTCTTCTGCAGACTTAAAAAAAAAAAAAATGAAATTTTTTTTGTCTTTTGTGACTTTTTGGCACCGAAAATTCTTTTGTAACAAAAATTCATACAGACTACCGCTTACGAAAATTTATATATATTTTTTTTTTTCATTTTGATGCTTTGCACCAGGGGTCTCAAACTCAATTTAGTTGGGGGCCACTGGACAAATTTTTTAGTCCCGCGGGGGCCGCTACTATGCACGGTACCAGTTTTAATGTATGCTGATCATAATGATCAGGTGACAGCTGCTGCATGTAAACGCCTGCACACCGCATGTAATCATATGTGAAAGGATTACATGCAGTTAGGAATCAATCACTATCCCTGGATACAGATAGTGATTGTTTTTGTAACTGCATGTAATCATATCACATACGATTACATCCGGTATGCAGGCGTGTACATGCAGCAGCTGTCA